ATTGCAATTTACTAGTCTACTGGTGAAATCCAAGCTATTTGCGTGAACTGAATGTCTATAATTATGTTAATGATGATGCTCTCTCTGGAAATAAAATTAGACCACTTGTATTCCGATGATTAGAAAATTAAAAGTTTAACTCAGAGATGATTGATACGAAGTAAACCAGAAACTAAATATCATTAAACCAACTTTTGCACAGCTAGATTCGTTGTACACATAATGTGAATACATGCCATAATTCAAACAAACACAATAATGAGAACTTCAATATAAATAAGAATATGTTAGCTAAACTTAACAAAACAAAATGTAGCTTGCTTTGTGAATTGAAACAACTGCCTCTGATTATTCAGTAGTTAATTAAATCAATTTGACTTGACACCTATCTCAAAGCTAATCACCAATGATAGTTCGATTATGATTTAATCTTGCGTTTGTAGAGATGATGGTGAAAAACTAGTATCAGCACTTTTTAGTGATATTTATTGGTGGTCGTGATTTTTCAACAGTTAACTAATGTGAGAACATTCCAAACAATAGATTATAGCTGAATAGCTTAAAGAGATTATGTACAATGGGAGACCTAATTATACTATTTTGCTTCCTGTTCATCGTTGTTTATTTAAACAACTGATAAGTTTCTGATTAGCAGCTGACGATGAAAATTCTTGTTCAAATGAAAAATATAAAGACATAAACAGTTCATCTACATTTACCTGATATACAATATCTACTAAACTGAAGTAGACACAGAAGCTTTGTCTATTTTTTCTGAAAATAATCATTTAAGTTTTAACAAAATTTCATGTGAATGACATTGAAATGTGAGATTATATGTGTAAATCTATCAGGGTATCTTTTTATAGATGTTTTTGTGACCCAAGGAATATTTTTTGTGAATAGATCTTAGAATTGCAGAAATCTAATCAAAGTATCGTTATTTGCTGTTGAACTGTTTTCGATAGGCACTGGCCACATCACTCCCATAGATATTACTTCGAAATTAGTTAGATATTAATGGCACAAATGACCAATAGACTGGTACTATTTGTGATAATTACAACATACTTCAACTTTGCACTCTTGATTTAATTTATAGTGGATACTTTAGAGTGTGATTATTGAGAGTATTGATGTACTTTTAGTGGACTACAACTGTGGTCAGTATTCATGAACTAGTCACCTTACGAAAGTATTTGATAAAATCCAACCTATCCAACAAAGATGTTGGATACTAAGACGAAAGTACTCGAAATTGTGATTCATTGACTTTTGGTGAATTTGATGTTGTTTAGATTAAACTGACTTAAAATACCATAGACCATATTTCCCTTTAGTTTCACAAGTTAATAGTTCACTTACTTGTGATTGACAGTGATTTTACAGTCGTTTTGACAGATATTGCTTCATCATGCAGATTAAATGCGTAAGTCGACCGAAACTGACATGAAATATTCGACAAATTCTGTCTTATGGTTGAGTTTGTTCTGATAGCACTTTTCAACTGCGAATTACCGTGTATGTTGGAAATGCCGTTTTATTCAGTCACTTGTCATGATTTTATTATAATTTCAATCGGGATTGTGTGAATGTGTTTCTATTGATTGAATTGAGCATTATCACTAATTCATACATTTCATCTTCAGCACCTTTAATTGAGGTAAATAACCACCGTTACGATTTATGTATTTTGTGGGTTGTGGAGCTATGAAAATGAATCTTAAACTCAAAGCATTTGGTTAAATTATAAGTTTTACTAAACATAAACCTATTATCTGATTTTTACACTGTTTGAGGACCCGAACTGTATCAGGTCTTTTAAATTTCACCGATGTTTTGTATGGTCTCTTGATTGTGTCCAGAACAAATTTGCTACCTTCTAGAAGTTTGAATGATAAAATGAATTTCCGAATATTATCCAATTAATTTACTACCATAATGAAAAATATGTGAGACGTGATAACTGTGTGGAATGAAAAAAAATAAAGCTAACCACATTATCAGTGGGTTACTATGATACCTAATTCATCACACCACTGACTGAAACCTGTCAATCATATTTAAAGCGTTGTGACTAGTTTAAGTGATTTTATACCATGGTACTCTTGTATTATTACTTGATAATTAAAGGGAATAGATTGCTACATCAGTCGGTTCTAACTACTGATGTTACCTAAATATCTTGAAACTAGTGATAGTGTAAAGATGATAAAGTCAAAATTTATGTAGTAAATGTATTCCAAAAAATAGAGTTGTAAGCGTTATAATAGTGGATGTTTTATACAAATACTTGACTCTTCTTTTTTCTTATCCGGAGAGTTTTGTAGTGAATAATGGTAATTTCATGACTTCAGGTGTACTACTTATATTTGTTTCAGTAAATAGATATAATTAAATAATAATATTTTACAAAAACTATGGATACATCAATTCGACAATAAACGGTAATATTTTTTACAACCATATTTGTCTCAAAACTGCATAGAGAAGACTTCTTGCTACAAACAAAATAAATTAATCTATTTGGAAACTTTCTGAAAAAAATGTTTTGGTAAATCAGACTTCTACAAGCATGTTTTATGAATTGCCGAGGAGACAGAATCCAGAATGAATCATGTATACGATATTCACTGCTTTTCAGTGGATTCAAGAGACAGTTAGGCAAAGATATTTTGTATGATGATGCTCAAGCATCTCCAATTATGACTTCCCTTATCTGGAAAATTTGTGATATTTTCTTACTTCTGAAAGTGTAATTTTTATATAAATCAATTTATATAAATTCAGTGTATGGTCATTGGATATTTACTTTCATAGATCTGCTTAGTTTTCGTTCATTCAAAGGACAAGGTCAAAATAAAGTGGAGCGATGGCGTTGAGTTTATCAGGCGGATAAGTGAACTGATAGATAACATGTATGTTAGGATTAACAAAGTGAAAATTTGTCATATTAACTTCCTGAGGTGTTTGGAATCAATGTGAATAAGTACTAGATAATCAAAAAGTGAATTTTAGATTGTGGTTAGGCTGAATTACGCGACATTCTTGATCCCAAGGACGACTGTGTGTCGAAGTACTTAATGTCATTCATTGAGTAATCAAGAGTGTTTAATACTTTTCTAACTCTTACTCTAAATCTAAACCTTAAGTTTCTCAAGCTTATAAACAGGAGGACGGGAAACCATTGTATTATAGTCAATGTCAGTTTGTGTTGCAAAACCTAATCTTAACTTGTTAACTGAACTCGATTATTAGGATCAAAGCTGTTATTTCACCTTTATTTTATTGTTAATTGTTTTGTTACTATGCCGCGTTTCCTCATTGGTTGGCAAGTCACTCAATGTCTCTAGTATATTATACTTTTATCAAGAATACTTATGTAACTCTAAGTATATATTGCTCGGACAATCTTTCAGAATACGAAATCTTGAACAGATGGTCTACAGCAGTTAATTATAATATGGTAGTTCAAGAGCATCGTTCTAGGATTCGTAAGAATCAGTCGGGCATCCAAAAAAATATAGAATTTCCGCCTTTGTTGTTATTCTGTCAGAGTTGCCATCGATGTTTTCTAGGTAGGCTTTTACCACATAATCATGCATTAATGTGTGATTTTTAGTACGTTTCCATATTCTGAATATCCCATCGTTATATATATGTATATTTATATAATAACTGGTATGATAATTGAATATAAGTTAGAAAAAAATTATATCGTGTCTGTCTCATACTGTTTCAAGTAGTAAATCTTTAAAAATAAATCTGATCAGTGTAATTACTTAAATCAAATAAAATCTTCATTTATTTGGTAAACTCCAGACTAAATGTCAGTGCTGATCGGTGTTAGAGTTGATTTAAATTAACTTAAGACGTGCCTAACCAGTACATGTTGTTGGTCCATGGAGTTATTCATTTAAGATATTTAGAGAGTGCTATGACGGCTGCCAGAAATACAGAAAACACTACGAAGCCTTCAGTAACTCTCAAAGGTGCTGATTAGACTCTACACAAGCTGAATTCGATAGGAACGTCTAGAATATCAACGTGGTATTTTATGGTTGGACGGTTACATTAACTTCATCATCGCAGATTAGTTGGATTATAATTATGTTATAACCTAATCTGAAAACTATAAATTCACCTTTTTTATGTAAAGTTCGTACAATTACTCAATAAACGCTTCTCTTACCTTCTTCTATCTATTTGACTTGTAACTGTGGGTTCTAGGCGTTCGTGTGCAGAAGCCATAGACCGTATTAGGCGTAATCAAGTAGAGGACAAAGCAGGTAGAAATAGACGTCCTGATTGAAGTAAATGTGATAAAATTTATTACTGGTTGACTACGTTATAAAATAACTCAAAATCGATAGCTATTGTGCCGATGTATCCATTCTTTATGTTTCTCTAAATATTAGGTACTCCTATAAAGTCGAACTTTCTATTTCATCAATCCATTCACAATTAGAAAACACCATTCAATATTTTTGGTCGCACTGACATTTATATAACTATCATTTCGTTCACTCTCTTATACAATTGGTGTTTACTTCATTTTAAGGCACTGATGTAATATAACATCTTAGAGCAATTGACATTTGTATCAGGTCCTACATTGATTATGACCGGTGAACTGATATAACAAGCTTTATTTCTTTTATCGTTATGTTTATATTGAGATATTAACAGCCATCTCTCAAGGATATATTTTAAAAGGCAATTGAAAGAAACCGCAAGTATCATTCAATTTATATTATTAGTCACCGTTTTATGTTTCACGAAAATACCAAGAAAATGAAAATTTTATTGTAATTTTAATGACCATGATTAAATCCAACATTCAATCCCCCTTTAATTCCTTCGTTACGAAATGAAATGAAATCTTTACCACCAGAGATAATGTATTGAATGACATTTTCTGAATGATAATATCATCTGCATAAAAAAAGTAATGTCAGTGAAGATTGACTGATAAGCTTGATTTTACTTTATTGTCGATTCTAGCAGCGACGGTATAAACCTAAATCACGATTGCATACTGGACAACGATGATCAGCGTCTTTACAGGAATCGCAGCAGAATGGCATAAGACAACAACCAAATATCCCACTAATGTTAGAAGGAAAATAAATAAATGAAGTGTTTTTCCATTAGTATATTTATTTAAATATTATAAATCAATATATCAATCAAGTTTACTAACTAAATCCTAAGTTTATTCTGTGAGTTGGCTATGTCAGGGTTTACCGTTGTTCATCCCAGGAGAATAAACCAAATGTTCTACTCATATTTAGTTCAGTTCAATAGGAACAACCTGCACTGTCAACAACATTCCGTTTTTAAATGCTTGTGTGGTTTAGAGGAATAGATAATGTGATTCGGTAACTACTTTACTTATATGTTTACCCGCAATTTATTGTTAATGAGTAAATGCTGAAAAAAGTCATGAAAAGATTATTCTAAATAGATAATAAGCAAGACTGTTGATGGAAGATATGTAGCTTTTATAACACTAGTTACGGTGAGTTTTGAGACAAATAACGCATCAGTTTGTTGTAAGCAAACTTGTTCTAATTGGTCAGTTTTATTTATTTACGAAAATCCATTCATATACTAATTGTTTATGCCTGGACAAGTCTTATTTGAATAATTAATTAATACATTTAAGTAGAGATAGATGGTGGCTAGCAGTGGGATACAGGACGCGCGTTTCGTCTTACCTGGAACTCATCAGCTGGATGTACCTGCATCTCAGAACCCAGTATTGTTCGCTTCCAATGACATCGCGTTATTCAATTTGCTACTGAGTTCAGATATCTACTGACTTACTTACTTACGCCTGTTACTCCTCGTGAAGGAGCATAGACCGCTCACCAGCATTCTCCACCCAACCCTGTCCTGGGCAATCCTTTCTAGCTCCGTCCAATTGTAATTCATCGTTTTCATATCTGCTTCTATTATCCGACGCAATGTGTTCTTTGGCCTTCCTCTTTTTCGCTTCCCTTCAGGATTCCAAGTTAGGGCTGGCCTCGTGATGCAGTTTGACGATTTGCGTAATGTATGTCCTATCCATTTCCATCGTCTTTTCCTAATTTCTTCTTCAGCTGGAAGTTGGTTTGTTCTCTCCCACAGAAGGCTATTGCTGATGGTATCCGGCCAATGGATGTTGAGTATCTTGCGTAGACAGTTATTTATAAATACTTGTACTTTCTTGATTGTGGTTGTTGTAGTTCTCCAAGTTTCAGCTCCATACAGTAGAACTGCCTTGACGTTCGTATTGAAGATTCTCACTTTGATATTGGTTGAAAGTTGTTTTGAGTTCCATATGTTCTTCAATTGTAGGAATGCGACCCTTGCTTTGCCGATCCTCGCCTTTACGTCTGCATCGGATCCTCCTTGTTCATCGATGATGCTTCCCAGGTATGTGAAGGACTCTACATCTTCCAGAGTTTCGCCATCAAGTGTGATTGGATTGCTGTTCTCCGCTTTGAATTTGAGGACCTTAGTTTTCTCTTTGTGTATGCTGAGGCCTACTGATGCAGAGACTGCTGCTACACTGGCTGTCTATATCTGCATCTGTTCGTGTGTACGTGATAGGAGGGCTAGGCCATCTGCGAAGTCCAAATCGTCTAATTGGTTCTGAGCTGTCCATTGTATTCCGTGTTTTCCTTCAGATGTTGAGGTCTTCATAATCCAGTCGACCACCAGAAGAAAGAGGAAGGGAGAGAGTAAACAGTCTTGTCTGACTCCGGTCCTTACTTGGAATGCATCTGTCAGCTGTCCTCCATGCACTACTTTGCACTGTAGTCCGTCGTATGAGTTCCGGATAATATTGACAATCTTCTCAGGAACTCCTTAGTGTCGAAGAAGTTTCCATAATGTCCTCCTATCTACACTGTCAAATGCCTTTTCATAATCAATGAAGTTGATGTACGGTGTTGAGTTCTACTCAATTGATTGTTCGACGATGATCCGTAGTGTTGCAATTTGGTCTGTGCACGACCGATCCTTACGGAATACAGCTTGTTGATCTCGAAGTTGGGCGTCTACTGCATCCTTCATCCGGTTCAGCAACACTCTGTTGAAGACTTTCCCTGGTATTGACAGTAGTGTAATGCCTCTGTAGTTTTCACATTTGCTCAGATCTCCTTTCTTTGGAATCTTGACGAGGTGTCCTTCTTTCCAGTCCATCGGCACTTGTTCCTCCTCCCAAATCTTTTTGAATAGAAGATAAAGCATGCTTGTGGTTGCTTCGATATCTGATTTCAGTGCTTCAGCTGGTATGTTGTCGGGTCCTGCTGCTTTCCCGTTTTTGATTTGTCTGACGGCCATTCTAATTTCTTCCGTAGTTGGTGGATTGACATCTAGAGGAAGATCTATGTGTGCTGCTTCGATGTCCGGTGGATTCATTGGAGCCGGCCTATTCAGGAGTTCCTCGAAGTACTCTACCCATCTTTCCCGCTGTTGTTGAATTTCGGTGATTGGCTTGCCTTCTTTGTCTTTGACCGGCCTCTCTGGTTTACTGTATTTCCCTGCTAGTTTCTTCGTTGTATCGTGAAGCTGTTTCATATTTCCTTCTCTAGCAGCTTTTTCTGCCGTCGTTGCTAGTTCTTCAACGTATTTCTTCTTGTCGGCTCTAATGCTCCTCTTCACTTGTTTGTTTGCTTCTATGTATTCAGCTTGTGCTTGGACTTTCTCTGCTCGTGTTCGGCTGTTGTTTATTACCGCCTTCTTGTTCTTCCTTTCTTTGATCTTGTCCAGTGTTTCTGTAGAGATCCATTCCTTATGATGGTGTTTCTTCAGGCCCAGAACCTCTTGACACGTTGAAGTTAATGCTTCTTTGATGCCCTTCCAGTTGTCCTCCATACTAGTTTCTTCTTCCTTCAGTAGATCATGTAAGGCTTGGAACCTGTTGTTGAGAGCTATCTTGAATTCACTGAGTTTGTCAGTATCTCGAAGGAAGGCTGTATTGAACTTTTGTATTGCTGTTTGTCCACTTGTCCAGTTCTTTTTTAGCTTCAGCTTTAAATTGGCTACAACTAGGTGGTGATCTGAAGCTACGTCAGCACCTCTCCTGGTTCTCACATCTTCCATTGTCCTTCGGAATTTTTTGTTGATGCAAATATGATCTATTTGGTTCTCTGTAGTGTGGTCCGGTGAGATCCATGTAGCCTTGTGTATACGCTTGTGTGGAAATATTGTTCCCCCTATGACCAATTTGTTGAATGCACATAGATTTGCAAATCTTTCTCCATTTTCGTTTCTTTCTCCCAGTCCATGTCGTCCCATGATATCTTCATATCCAGTGTTGTCTATTCCGACTTTGGCATTTAGATCTCCCATCAGAATAGTTAGGTCCTTTCTTGGGCATTTCTCAATGATTGACTGCAGCCGCTCGTAGAACTGATCTTTAATTTCGTCGTTGCTATCATTGGTGGGTGCATAACATTGGATAATATTCATTAAGATCCCCTCCTTCTTTGTTTTGAATGATGCTTTGATGATTCTGGATCCGTGAGATTCCCATCCTACAAGTGCATTTCGTGCTACTTTGGACAGCATAAGAGCGACTCCCTGAGTGTGTGGAGCATTGTCCTCTTCGTGACCGGAGTATAGCAGCATCTCTCCCGTAGCTAGCCTTTTCTGTCCAGCTTGGGTCCAGTGGGTTTCGCTGATTCCCAGTACTGCTAAGTTGTATCTCCTCATTTCCATTGATATTTGACTGGTCTTCCCGGTTTCCCACATTGTTCGAACGTTCCATGTACCTATAAAAATTTTTGCTCTGGTTGTTAGAAGGGGCATCGGCCTCGTGGCTTCCGAAGGAACTCGGCTTTCACCATGAAGCGTCATAATTCTTCTAAATGAAGACCTTCTAACTCCCAGGGCAGAGTTAAAATGGTTTGGATTATTTTTTCTGGTAAGCGTTTTTTTAGCGAGTTAGTTTTCTACGGGATGGGGACGCTAACCCCATGCCCAACCGTCCCCTTTTACCCGGGCTTGGGACCGGCAGCAACCCTATAAGAGCTACAGGCGGAGTTATATCTACTGACTAGTGCAATGAAATGAATTAAGTAATATTGTATTTTCACAGTAGCTTTGTTTGGATTTATTGCTGTGTCGAACTTAGTGAATGTCAACAGTGTTATATCGCGATCAAATATTGTTTACTGAATTCCGAACAACAAAAATATTAAATATTATTAGGTTTCAATGTAGCTAATGTTTTGTGGCACTAGATATTTGAGAACTAGATTTAATATCATGGCTAAGATTCGAATTCAAGTGAGTAGCAAAGTTAAACTGTACAAAATATTTTACATACTACATATTTTTCCTTATTTAAATTCGCTTTCAGTCGAATACCTTTAAATTATTCCTGTCGTATTAATCAATTTTATTAATGTACTATTCAATACTTTCTCAGTCGAACAAGTAAGAGTTTATTTTTGCGCTTTCTTAGATTTACCATATTTATCTCTTATTTATTGGGGGATTTTTTCTCTATAAATTCAAGTATAATGTTGATGTGTCGAGTGTTTCATTAATACTAAGAACATTTAAGTTTATTTGACGTTAGCTACATGATAAAGTGTGCAAATAAACTGAGTACGTCAATAGGACGAATGCAGTATTCTTTATTTATGTTGCAAATATGGTTTTATAGAGTATTATTGAGTTTTAATGTAATAAACCCAGCTGTTATAGTTTCCTAGAGATATTAATGTGTAACAGAAAGTTGTAGCGATCAAACATGTAGCTTAGTATCAAATATCTATCATTTATTTATGGTGAGAAGCCTGAATATAAATTGTAAGCATTTATATCTTTTAAGGTGTGTATATTTACTGTTAATGTGAGATTTCAATTCTCTAATGAAGTCAGAAATGTCATTTATAATGCCCACTGAATAGTTTAATCAGTAGCCAGAACCATAGGAATAACTTTCCATTCAAGTTCACAAAATAATCTCAAGGTTCATTAACTACAATTAAAATAACTTTTCATCAATATTGCTATTTATAACAGCAAAGAGATATCTTTAAAATTCTTAAGTTTACTCAAAGTTCCATAGATTTGTGGAATAATCAAAGTTGTCAATAGAAATTTCT